GGGGGAGGGGCAGAGGGTAGGGATGGTTGGGAAGGCTCCAGGGTGGGACAGAAGTTGGGGGCAGTCACTGGAGGGTGTGAGGTGCCGGGGAGGAAAGAAGCATTTGGAGCAGAGGAAGATGGAGCTTGGGCCTGTTCCTCTGTCTGGGCTGGGGGATGACGGAGCCTCTCTCTTTCCCCTCTGGCCCAGATAGCACCATGCAAGGGAACCCCATGATCTTGACTCAGCTTGGAGAGGGGGATTTGGGGCTGGATCAGCAGGGAGTGGGAAGAGGGGCTGTTTAAAGACGGCCTGCCCGAAGCGGGGATGGGCTAGGAGGCAGTGGGGTCTGCTCTAGAAAGGGTGGGGCAGAGAGGAAATGGTGGGGGTGGAGGCTCAGTCTCTCTCCACGTGTTTCTCCTGGTTGTGGCTGTTGGTAGGGGAGTTCCAGCAATGCTCCAAATAGAAAAGGTGAGGAAATGCCCCTCCAAAAAAAAAAATCTCTTCATATCCCCTGAGCGTTCTGCCTCTGCTGAGCTCCCCATGTGGTTTGGTTTCTTGGTGATAAGCATTTGGGACACCCTAGAAGTTAGGGGTTTTCCTTTACTTATTTTTCTTCTCCAGCCCGATTCCGAATATCCCATTTCTTGGTGTTTCCCTTGGGAGGTCGATTGCACAGTGCAGGAGATCCCTTAGCAAAAGGAAACATTTCACATCATTCGCCTAAACTTTCTCCAGTGGCTTCCCTGCTGTTGTTCCTAGGTCCGTACATCCCTGGAGATGGATGTGCTGCTGCGGGGGTGGGCAAACCATGCCTCTTTCAGCCAAGGGCCCGATCCAGCCCTTTCTTAGCTCTGTAAGATGTTGCACTAATATGATCCCCGCTACGCCCACATTCCAACCTTAAAACGAAAATAACATTTTCAGCAAGGCTGGTTCCTGCCGAGGCAGCAGAAACTTTTCTTGCCTCTGTATGATGGCAGGAAGGACCCATGTATATTGAAAAGGCTCCTGGATCAGAGCTGTGTCCAGTCATTGCTAGTGAAGGCTTGTTGTGGCTGACAGCCAGAGTTCTGCAATGCTTTGTGTTCTTCATTGCAGTTGTAGCGCGATGCGCTGAATGGAGTATCATTAACCTCTTTTCCTTCCTCTGTAGCTAACGCTCTGCACCATGGATTGGCAGCCAGACGAGCAGGGACTACAGCAAGTGCTGCAGTTACTCAAAGATTCTCAGTCTCCTAACACTGCCACACAGCGTGTTGTCCAGGACGTATCCTTGGAATAAGCCAGGTGGTTCGCTAGGAGGCCATTGCAGAGCCAAGTTGTGTGTGTTTGCTTCACTAGCTCAGTAAATTATGCTGAAAACTAAAACCCTTTACATCAAGGTGCCTGGCAGAGCCTTAACATGGGGGGAGATTTTAGTATTCCTGTCTGGGTTTATTTTTTGTCCCATTGAAGAATCTGTTGCTGACATGCAGCTTGGCAGGGTGCCTGTCTGGTCCTTAATGGTACCCAGAATCTGTTTCGTGCAGATCTTTGCATCTGTCTTCCCTTGAAATTCCTGTGTTGTGCCATGTGCCTTTTTCCTTCACCTAGCATTGTAGAAACTGAAGCAACTGAACCAATATCCTGACTTCAATAACTACCTGATATTTGTCTTGACACGGCTGAAATCGGAAGGTACGTAATCTGCCTCGATGGAAGTGCATGGAAAATACACGGGGACTTCTCCCTTTGCCATTAAGTATCTCTCTCATGAAAAATTCCCTAACTGGGGATTGTTGGGCTAATGTGTGCAAGCAAGAGAAGAGAAAACGGAGTATTTTGAGGTTGGTTCCCTTGAGTAGGGAAGCCCTTCACTGACACATCTGTGCTAGGCTGTCTTGCTTGTTAACTGAGTTTGTATCTGATTCAGGCCTGACCCCGTAAGGCCATCACGCTTCTTGAAACGTCTGCTGCTAGTTCCTTGTGACTAGCTGGAAGTTCATGCTTTCCAGAGGTGGTGCTGCAAGAATTAGGCTAGATCACAAGTGGTTTAAGAAATTTGTTGAGGTGGTGGGAATTAGAGTAGGGAATCTCGTACTCCAAGGTTCTTGGCCTTTCTGTGAGAGCGAGAGAGACTGAGTCAGGAGATGGGACGTGTGTAACTGTTAGCAGCTATGTGCTGCCCCCACCCCCATGTCTCCATCTGGCAAGGAGGTGCTGTGTGCTCATTGTACAGATGGGGAACTGAGGCATGATGTGGCTAAATGACTTGACCAAAGTTGTTTGTGTGGAACAGAATTGAAGCTTGTGTCCCAGGTTAATGCTGTAACCAGTGGGCCAGCCTTCCTCTCCAAACTGGGACTGCTGTGTTCCGTTCCCAGCTGTGGGCTAGTGGTGGCCGGTACTCCTGATCTGTTCCCTGCTAAACTTTCTGAAATCTCAGTGAGTCAGTTCCCCTCCTGCTCATTTTGGGCCTCCTTCCAAGCGAGGCTGGTATTCGCTCTGCCGTGGATCGGGCCATGCCTATCAGTGCCCTGCAAAGGAGCTTGTCTTGGAAGAGGAATGGCAAGCCGTGGCCTTTGCAAATGAAGGTATAGCGCGAGCATCCCAAAAGGCAGCTGGCTGTATCCTGAACCATCACGTGCTTTGGGATTATAGGCACGGGTGCCTGGGAAGCAGACCCCCTCATGCTTCACATCCTTTCGCCCGTAGGCCGTCAGCGCTCTAGATCCATATTGGAATCTCTTGTCCTCCGGTTGCTCTCAGACATGCAGCCACCTCTGGGGTGAGCAGCGACAGCAGTTTATAGAATTCTGTTTGTCCCCTTCAAACCTTCTCTCACCAGATGAACCGACGCGCTCGCTCAGCGGGCTGATCCTGAAGAACAACGTGAAGGCGCACTACCAGAGCTTCAGCC